AACTTTTAATTTTTTAATTTTTTTTTACATTTGAGAGATTTTTTTTCAAGAAAAGAAAATGTGTTAGTTTCATTTTTTTAATGTTCTTCTTAAGGTGTTATTTTGAGGGGGGGGGGGAACCTAGCACTTTCCTGCTATCATATAAAACATTTCAAATTCTGGAAGTAGTGTTAGATCCGTAAATCTCCAACGAAACTTTGGGAATTTTCTGTCTACCAATCAACACAGCTATGGCTTCTTCTCTAGCTCTCAAGAGGCTCGTCTCATCGAACATCCTCCCAAGCTCCTTGCGGCTGCTCCGCCCAATTGTCACCGCTCCGTCCGCCTCCAGAGTCTCTAACACCAATGCCATGCATGAAGGTGACGCTTCTATTTGTCTACGGATCTATTTTTCATTTCGATTTTCCCCTTCTGATTATAGAAGATTGATGCTGATTTTGGCCTTTCCATTTTTCGTGTTGCAGATGTGTTTGATCCTCTCTCTCCTTCAAGGAGCCCGAACAAAGTCGTGAACATTAGGGATCAATTAATGAAGAACCCGTTTCTCTCCGCTTCCCGTGGCATGGCAACGCTTGCGAAAGGCGAGTTCAAAGAATCAAATGAGGGGGAAACCAGCGAGCGAAAAAATATCCTTCGCCCGTTATCTCCTCATCTTCCTGTTTACAAGCCACAGCTTAATGCGACCCTTTCAATTACCAATAGAATCTCCGGGGCTTTCCTAACCACCGTGCTTCTGGTTTCTTATCTTCTTTCTCTGAAAATGGGTTCGGTTTGCTTAACCTATTCGAGTTTCTACCAATTCTTCTTTTATTCAGCAAAGCTTTTCTAGTGTCCACCTCAGTTTCTGCCTTAGCCCTGTCCTACCATACATATTATGGGATTCGTCATTTATTGATGGATCTGCTCAAAGTGGGTGTTCCCAAGGTCAAGTGAGGAGCAGTGGAATGATTTGGTGCAGCTTCAAATCGACTGATTAGCTGACCGAGTGGGTTTTTCTTTGTTTTGGGCCTTTCTGGCTTGTAGTACCTACTTTGTGTGGGGGGAAATAAAGGCTGAGAGTATAGCATGAAAAGCTGTTACTGCTCTTTTTTCTTTGGTTGAATAAACGAATATTTGTTAATGTTGAACCTTCAAAACCCAGTTAAAGTTAAAAGCTTCTTTGAACTTGCTAATGTAGTGATCTGTGTTGAATTAGGGATCTTGAATTAACAAGGTTTAGGGTTTTGTTTATCTTTTGAAAGTTTTGTGGTTTTCTCTTTATCATATTTCCTTTTGTTAACTCTGTTTTTGTTGCAGACAGACATGGTTTATCAATTGCTATGTACAGCAACCGAGTACATCTCGAATCTATATCTTCTTATATTATGCAACTTTTATTTCTTTATTTCTCCGTAGATATTTTCTCATCTTATAAAAAACGGTCCTAAATAGAAGGACGGCCGATCGCTATCAGTAAGGCATTTAAGCATTTTCCTAGCTTCGACCAGTAATTAGTAGTTCTAGTCATAACTCATGTGATCAGTTGGATTGTTTGATGCTTGGTAGGAATGTATTAAGGTTTGATTCAAAATAGGACATTGTGGTTTTCCAGATTGATAAGTGTCACCTCAGCTATTTTTAGGTTACAAGATATATTTCCCTAACCACTTGATACTCTGGATAATGGTAGAAGAAAGTGCAGTATGTTTAACTGAATAGTGCATTGGATTTAAATTTTGGAGTCGAATAACATTCCCATATCTTCATATTGACTTGTGAGATCTCTGAAGACTTCTATAGTTCTATTCTTCATATCTTCTGAACTGTTTTCTTGATTTTCTTCCCCCAAAAGTCTTCGGAGTTCCTTCCCCATATTGTATGTGAAATGGCTTAGAAGGGCTCTCTATTTACAATGCTTCGATTCTAACAGAACCTAACATCTTTAATTTTACCTCTGAATTAGTTTAATTTAATTGGAAATAAAACATTATGACTCGTAGTCTTTGAAATTCAATTCATCAAAGTTTGAATGCGAATTCTCAAGAGCGTTCTATCCTGCCATTAGTTGAACCTAAGATACTGCTACAACATTTTTCTTTTATGAAAGATGTAATCAGGTTTGTATACAGTTATCCTTGATAGCATGTAAGTGGCTTTCTTTATATTGGACAGTGATTCTCCTGCTCCCTCGTATTATCTTACCTGCTGCTTTCCTTACAGATTGATCACACCTGCCCCGGTTGGTTCAATCCAGAGAGTTCAACTGTATTTGCAGTATAATTCTTACTTGCCTGGTTGCCACCCAAGACCAAACCCTTTGTCACAACCGTGTACATTCCTCTCTGAAAGTCGATGTTATAGCCAAGTAGTCGTTGAATCCGAAATGTGAGCATGTTTAGGAAACCGTCAGCAGAGTAGCCGAGACTCTGCAAGGAGTGATGGCATAGTTTTTTTTTTTTGGTACAACTCACACTCCTAGCATATCACTGCTACACACCAATAGGAACAAACAAGATTGTGCAATGTGATCCAGATCAGGCAACTGCTTAAAGTAGTAATGGATGCGTTCAAAACGAGTGAAGCATTGGGGATTGTCAGCCAGCCAGCCAGCTTCAGTATTAGTTTTGGTACTAATACTAATTCAACTGCCTAAAGTACTAATATATCTTTTCTTCCCACTCAATTCAACCTTCAAAAATTATTTTTCCAAGTCCAATTTTTTGATTTTGAATCTTCTTCTATATCTATCTACCCACTAAATTCAACCTTTTAAAACTATTCTTCCAACTACAACCATTTGATTTCCGATCATCAAAAGTCAAGAATTATTCTAGACCGGTTTATCAAGTTTCAAACATTATTTATCAAAATGTCTTTATCTCGCCACTTGTAGATGGTGAGGTTAATATATTAGAAAAGGTTGATACCTTTTTTAATTTGAGATTATTTCACTGACGCGATTTGATTGATCTCGTTTCTTACGGATGTTGAGATTGATATTTCTTAAATTTTAGACCCAACACTTTATTGAGTTTTATTTTACAACACATTAACTTCATCTATTATAGATGTCAAGATATTAGTATAAATTTCAGATCTTAATGAATAATGTTTGAGTTTCAACAACTAAAATTTGAATATTGAATATTTTGAATAAGGTTTAATATAAAAATAAGTGTTTGAGTTATACTGTTTTTCTCATTTATGTGCTTAAATTATTTTTCGATCAATTTATGTGTGTAATATTACAAACATGATTATTTTAAGTATCTTGATTGTTAAAAAATCTAGTTATGGGGACACATGTCATATTCTAATAATTTTAAAGATAATATTTTAAAAAATTAAAAATAAATTATTACTCAATAAAAGAGTAATGATCTTGACCCGCCTTAATTAAGTAAATAAATATCTTATGGGCACTCGAGCAAGATTTGCCAGGAAATATTAAAAGCTCGAGTGTATTGTTTCGATTTGTTTTCTTATTTATATTCTTAGAAATTAAACTACTTCTCTTATTGTATTTTCTTTTTTAATTGATAATAAATTATTAAAGTAGCCTTACAAATCACAATTCCAATAATTGTCATTAGGAACCGTTAAACAATTGTTCATTTATTAATTTTTGTCGATTTATTTTTGTTAGGACAGCTACAATCGTATTCTATTCTCGTTTAATTTGTTTGATATGAACTTCTCAATTATTTTAAAGGAATAATAGAAGTGAAACATAATAATTTAATCTATATTAAGTGCTTTGATTTTTTATTAAAGAAAATATAATAATACTAAAAAATTAATAAGTGATATTAGTTGAATTGTGTGCGTGTAGATACCAGTTTCGTTTTATTTGTAAGAGAACCTAGACAATATTATATTAATAAATAATCCTAAATATTTATATATATTTTTTATAATATACGGAATTATGGTTTCAAGTCACATCCCTTCACGATTTATTTATGATTCTTATATTTAAGGTAAATAATAAATACACAAAAACTGCATTTAATTTCATATTTTAAATTATTTTTAAATCAATTATCATAAGATAATTGTAATTATGGTTAATAATATTTTAATATATAAAGTTGTAACTTATTATTATTTTGATGCTTGAAAATCTTTTTATTCTATCTCATTCTTGAATTTTTGAATATTATGAGACAATTATAAGGTAATATCTGTTTAACATCTTTTTTAAGCATTGACAACGTATACATATCCAGTAGATACAATTGCTCGAACTCATATCCTCTAAAAGGAAAAACACTTTCTTTGATTACTCCGATTACTTAATTAGTTCGATCCCATAACTTTTATTTTGAATAAATCCTACTTAGGATTAGAGGAAGAAAAATTTGCTCCTAATGGCCATTGAAACCACAACTTAAAAGAGATAAAAGTGAAAAGTGTCAATTGAAAATTTTTAATCACTTACTTTAGAGATTGTTGACTAATCCCGAAAGTTTTTAGATAAAAAAAACATATATTATATATATATATATATATATAAAAGCACGACACTTTAATAACATACCAAATAATACGAATTTAATTGAAAAACACTTCATAAATACAAAAAGTCATGTGGCCCTTTTATAGCATCCTTTCACTTGTATGAAACCATCCAAACCGAACATATGTTTAGGTAGCCCCTACAACAGTAATACCACATACACCTATGACTGCAATTTCATCATTTAGAAATAGGTTTAAATATTCCAACAAACCATGCCAACGGGTGTGTTCTACTATCACATGCTTTCACCCATCTCCCGAATCGATAATTTCAACTTGGAAAGTCTAATTTAAATATGGGAATGATCAAATGAAATAAAATAAGAATCCCTTTCTTGATTCGTTACCTACCTTCCCTGGAATTTCCCAGAAATAATTAGTATCTTTGTTACAAGTAAGGATAAGAATGTTGGTCCTCGATGCATTCTCACTTTCTTTAATCATAAATTAATATAAGACTGGTTAAGCACTACGTATAACAAAATTATCTGGCAGCTTCCATGGCTGATCAGATAGCCTATACAGCACAAGAGATCGCACCAGCGGTTCCCGGATGGCTAAACAAAGGAGACAACGCATGGCAAATGACGGCATCGACTCTGGTGGGAATTCAGAGCATGCCTGGACTTGTAATCCTATATGCGAGTATCGTGAAGAAGAAATGGGCAGTCAACTCGGCTTTCATGGCCCTTTATGCCTTTGCAGCAGTTCTGATTTGTTGGGTCCTTTTATGCTACCGTATGGCCTTTGGTGACGAGCTCCTCCCTTTCTGGGGGAAAGGTGCACCGGCTCTTAGCCAAAACTACCTCGTTGGCCGAGCCAATGTCCCCGAGAGGGTCGCCACCGAGCCTCTTTATCCCATGGCAACGCTTGTATATTTCCAATTCACTTTTGCTGCTATCACTCTTATTCTGCTGGCTGGTTCTGTTCTTGGTCGCATGAGTATCAGGGCATGGATGGCATTTGTCCCACTTTGGCTTATATTCTCCTATACCGTCGGAGCTTATTGCTTCTGGGGTGGTGGTTTTCTCTATCGATGGGGTGCCATCAACTACTCCGGCGGATACGTGATCCACCTTTCCTCCGGGATCTCCGGTCTCACAGCCGCATACTGGGTAGGCCCCAGGATCAAGTGCGACAGAGAAAGGTTTATTCCGAACAACGTTCTGCTGATGCTTGCGGGTGCCGGATTGGTGTGGATGGGATGGTCAGGGTTCAACGGAGGAGCCCCGTATGCTGCAAGCATTGACTCTTCGATAGCAGTACTCAACACAAATGTTTCCGCAGCAACCAGCATTCTCGTCTGGACTTGTCTCGATGTGGTGTACTTCGGGAAGCCTTCCGTTATTGGTGCAGTTCAGGGAATGATTACCGGACTCGCTTGCATCACACCAGGAGCAGGCTTGGTGCAATCTTGGGCTGCTATAATCATCGGAATACTTGCCGGAAGTGTTCCATGGGCATCCATGATGATCATTCACAAGAAATGCAGTTGGTTACAAAAGGTATGTCACATTGAAATGCACCCTAATGTTGAATCCATCAAAGTTTGTTGATTGGTATAATCATTGCCACAGGTAGATGATGCTCTGGGTGTATTTCACACGCACGCGGTGGCTGGCCTGATGGGCGGTCTCCTCACGGGGCTACTGGCGGAGCCAAACCTCTGTAGGCTGATACTGTCGAAGGACACAAGGGGTGCACTTTATGGGGGGAATGGAGGGGTTCAATTGGCGAAGCAAATAGTAGCGGCTTTCTTTGTAATTGCTTGGAATGTGACGTCCACGACGTTGATTCTTCTAATGATAAGGCTGGTTATACCATTGAGAATGCCGGATAACCTGCTTGAGATCGGAGATGACGCCGTCCACGGAGAAGAAGCATATGCTCTTTGGGGAGATGGAGAACAATTTGAGCAAAGAAACTACGGTTGGCATGCAGTGGAGGTGACATCACCTACACCTTACATCAATGGTGCAAGAGGAGTAACCATCGACCTGTAATTAGCTGCGCATATGCATTGGTTTTAGATTTCAACTAAGCTGTTTAGTATTATGTGATTAAATCATGCCAAATGTTGAACTAAAATTTTATTCATCGCCTCTACAATATATATTTCGTCTTAGGCTTACTAGTTTGCTCTCATGCTTTTCGAGCTCGTCTCGTTACCCAACGAAGAAAGACTTCGCATTCATATTTCCTTAAATCCATAAATCTCTAAGTTTATCGCTGAATTCAATCAAACTTTCATTCGATACATCTATGCACACATTAGCAGAAAGATGATAAAACAAGGCTCGATGATGAGTGGGTAAGCGGCCGGTGATAACAACTGCGATGGGATAGTCGATGACGAAGTTGATGCTATGAGATTAAGAATTTAATTTGTTGTTGTCGTAGATTTTAGAGAAATTTTGACTATATATTAAGCAGAATTAATGGGTTTTATCCCAAGAAGTTTATCTATCTACGTTGAGAAATCTCCTTCGATTGAGAAGAGAGCCCAGGCGGCTCCGCATGCTGGTTGCGGATGCCTTGAAACGGATGATTTCCCTACCAGTTACCAAGGAGTTGATGTCATATGTATAAATGGGTTCTAAGTCACGGAATGCTTGCATGCAATGGTGAAAAGGAAAATATGTTTCTTCAAGGAAACTTTATAACTCTGATAACAATTAGGACAAGCAAATGATTTTGTTTCGACAGAGAAAAACCTTGGTTATCTGTGTTCGAGCATAACCTATTCAACTACTTGTATGTGAGTTTAGATGATTTTTTTGGGAAAAAAAATCTTATCATTGGTTAATCATTTTTAATTAACCAATAAAATAAAACTACTACTATTATTATAGGGATGGGTATGGATTGCAATGGATTGAACTTTTGGTCATTCTTATCTGATTCGAAAATTACACACCCTTCATTTGATCTGAACTCGACCCACCCTTTTGAGATAAAATCTGAACTCGACCCTACTTGAAAAAATATATTTATAAAAAATATTACTTTTATTTAATAAAAAATAGAAACTTAATTTGAAAAAAGAAATAATATACATAAGGATATTATTGTAATTATCTCTAAATATATAAGGTAAAATTCATTTTTTTCGGGTAGAATATTTTTCACCCTAAACTCGAATCAAACCCAATGCCTCTAAAAAAATCCGATCCGACCTGAATTCAAATATTTTTTTTTAATATTAACTCGATCGGTTCGAGTCAAAATCCGTTGGATTCGAGTCCCATGCTAATCCCTAATTATTGAAGAAAACAAAATCATACATTTTATCTTTCTATTTTCTACCCATTTAATTTTCTAATCTACCCAGCAAAAGCAACAATAGTCAATAGCTCGAAGTCAACTTCAAATTAAGGGATTTATATAGGTAGACCAGACATTGGCTTCTAAGAAATGTCCAAGGTCATAGTATATATTTACACATAGGCCTAAGAACAAAAGGTTTGGTTCACAAACACACAACTGCAAGATGCCTAATCTGAATAAGTACCTTCAAACATAATGCAAAGCAAGGATTATACAAACTAATTAACATACATTACAATCACACTGATACTCTTGTCAATTGGATCCCGCACTCAGCAGCTTCATTCTCAACCCTCAAGCAGCGGCAACCGACTTCGGATTAGTTGCAGCTGCCAACTTTGAGGGAGGAGGACCACCAGGACCAGAGGTAGAGGCGGGAGTACCGTGTTTAGCATCATTTTTGGCCTCTGGTGGCGGCGGTGGCGGCGGTGGCTTGGTCTTCATGTGGGGAGGAGGATTATGCTTCAGCTTCACGAGTAGCTGTCTCATCCTGGAGAGATCAGTTGGCTTTCCAGGCTTAGGTCCCTGGATCACAACGATGGAAGGTTTCTTTCCCTTCTTCTCTATAGTCGGCACCTCATTCGGGATGATCTCTGCAATTTGCCTTCCAGTAATTTTTCTCCGCCTCGGCATGGAACTTCTCCCGATTTTCCAAATATACCTGCCAATATATGATCCAAAACATGAGTCATTTGGACTTGCATGAGCATAAAAAAGAACAACACCGTATACACTAACACACAGGGATGAACAGAGGAGACTGCCGGCCATCATCTTCTGTTTTTACCTCTAAAATTTTATAAATTCATCCTCTAAACATAAAATAATATGTCCGTCCCACTAATACAATATCGTCGCTCCACTTAACTTCAGAACCAGCTCAGTTAGCAATCATAGGAAACCCAGAACAACACCATAACACAAGATTTTCATAATATGAAATTGATGGGCAAAACATATAGTTCATTCGATGGAATAAAAACATGGTATGCTATAAGAATTGTGAATTTGAACTATCAGTATCACCTTCTCCTTGTCTCTGTTGGATGCTTTGTTCTTTTCAACAGCTATACTTATTTTCTTATAGAATTCAACTTTGTACTCCTCTGCTTCCTTTTTTATTTGCTCCACCATCTCCTTCTCTTTCTTCTCCTTCTCCTCCAGTCGAATCAGGTTCTGTCTGCGAATCAATAAATCCAAACTAAACTTTTAAAAACATAATCAATAATAAATGGAACAATTCCTTCCATATTTATTATAGAAAGTTTAGGTTGATTGTTTTAAAAGTTTGAGTTAATCAAAATGAATAGAAATGAAGTTCAACTCAGTAACTTGTGATCGTAAACTTACCTGCGCCACTCTCTCAAAGCAGAGCCTTCTTCTGGATCCATCTCAGCAGGCGGCGGCAAGACCGGCCCATTGGATCCTCCAAACTGATCATCTTTGAATCCCTCCCCGTTTTGCTCCGGTGAGAAAGCAGAATATCCACCACCGCTACCGTAGATCGGAGGTGGAGAAGGTGTTTCGGGCATCGATTGTGATGAGAAGACGTCATCTCCGGTACCTGGCGACTGATTGTTGAACATCGGAGGGGAATCGGGCACTGATCCCTTCACCGAGTCGGCTTCCAAAGACTGGGATTGGTGGGAAGCGAGGCGAGGGTCGTAGCCTAAGTAGCCATCATCGTCAAAAGTCGACATCGGTTCTGAAGGATCTATTTGTCCTGATCCGACACTACCCTAACCGATAGCTTGCTGTTTCAGTGAATCTCTGTCTCTCAGTACATTCTTCTAGCTCTCCTTCGCACCCCTTAAAAATTGACGATTTGACCAAACTGATATTATTTAATTGAATATTTACTATTTTAGTATCGGTTGATATATTTTTTGAAGTGTCATCCTTTCGGTTGAGTTGACAAAAGGTACGTGTTCGGAAACGCGTTTTATCCGTGTTTTCGTTGAGTTGGATGTCACGTGTGGAAGACGCATCATCGGAGACACGTATTTACGGGATTCTGATGACTCGACTGCCGCGCTGATATTTTGTTTAATAATAAATATTTTATTTTTATTATTATTATAAATTAGTAATATATTATGTAAAGTGTTTCGATTATAATATAAGAATTATTAAATGTATTTTGTTAATGTGTGTTAAAGGTGGAGTGAATTATCTACATTAATATGATAGAACAATATATGAAAACCAGTTTTGATTTTATTGTAGTTATAAGAAAAATGTATGAAATTATAATATTACACATATGGTTATATTATTATTTTTGATTTTGATTATCGATCTATTAATTTTATCAGTTAATTATTTAAATGTTATCAATCTAGTCATCTCTTATCAATATTTAACGAAAATATTGATGCATAATTTTAATAAATTAGTATAATTACATATTTAATCTTCAAGACTTACATATTTTATGAAATTAGTCTTATTGAAAATTTAATTTAATAAATTTAATCATCCAATCAAAACATGAAATGTGTCTTCGTATACATAATTTTTTTAATAACTTTTAATTTGTTTAATTTAATATTTTTCTCTATTTAGAAGGTGGAATTATTATTATATTTTAAAAAAATTTATAACTAATAATATTAATTATTATATTAAATAAATATATTGAAAATATTTATGTATTTAAAAGTTAAAAAAAATTATTTAGGTGTACATACATTGACAAATTATATAAAATGCAATAACATTAAATTATTAGAAACAAAAACATTCATTTAAATACAATATTAATTACATAAGAGTTAACGGTTATATGATGATAACAGAGCTGGACATTTTTTTCTATTGTGCCCGATGTTTCTACAATGCCCACATCGTTTTTGTTCTGTTGACTTCTCCCGAATATCCATATCACAATGTATTCTAGTAGATTTTGGACGACCTGAGTCCCTCAATAGCAATGGATATGGTACAATTGTAAGTCAAGTTTGAATCTCATTTGGGTCTCTTTCGTTTCCTATGGGCAGAAACTCAAATTCATATACCTTGAATACTTGTGAAAGTTGGTATACGAGATCAAAATAATTTTTGTAGTCCAAATGCGAATGTGAGCAAGCTGCAATGACATGAGAGCATGGATATTTGAGTGCTTGAAAGAAACCACAATCGCACCACCTCTCTTGCAGATTAACTCTGAAATAGTTAGCTCCAATCCCTTGCAGAGGATGTGGCATTTCGGTTACACGAAACAATTCACGGGTGCGAGAAAAATTTGTAACTAACATCCCATTTGATGCAGCCACTTTTTTCTGTAAATCAACTACTAGTCTTGGGTGGTAAATATGGCCGTTTGCATCCAAGTAGAGTTCCACCGGCTTTGCAAAGAGTTGGCCCAAACGAAAATCGTTTTAACCAACGCCGTGACTGGTAAATGACGCGCCCCCTTTAAGGTTGAATTTATTGCTTCAGCCAAGTTTGTTGTCATATAACCATAGCGATACCCCCCGTCATATGCATTTGTCCACATTTCTTTGCTGATGTCCATAATGTACTCGCACCCCTTCTTATTTTTTCCAAACAGCTCTTTTAGCATCGACTCAAACCTTTGAGGTAAGAGTTCGTAACCTAATCCATTAGAAATATGTAATAGTTAATATGAAGTATAAATAAGTAATAAGAAATTGAAAGAAAAATTGGGAAAAAGTAACATACCCATCCGCACGACTAACTGACGTTCA